GACACTGACAAACGCTTTTGGCCAGAGCTTGCTAGTTTCATCTTCAGTATTCCACTCAATTTCATAATATTCCTTTCCTTGTTTTACTCTTGGTTTGAAGATTCTGTTGAACAGTTAAATTTTAGTGGATAATCATTTGTCATAGGAAGATGAAGCATGACGATTCAAAAAACAATCCGCCTCGACGTTTTGTCGGAATGAACCAAAGAAACAAAAAGGTTGAATTGAAGGGAATTGCAAACAGTAGAACGATTGTAATTGTTTTTGTTTGTGGGAACACCACGTAAATTTATTACTGCAAAGCTTTCGATCCGTAAGCCCGGATCTTCATCAGTGCTAATAATATGTCTGAATATTATATAGCACTGATGAAGATCCGGGCTTACGGATCGAAAGCTTTGCAGTAATAAATTTACGTGGGGTTCCCACAAACAAAAACAATTATATTTTATCGCCATGCAAACATTCAAAGAACTTAGTAGAACGATTGTTTACAAGATATCTTCGTTTCCTACTATCTGCATTAGGAAAACACTATAATTCCACGTTCCATTCTAAAAATTGGTCTGAATATTTACATTTGATGCATGGGCGTCAAACTTTAATTATCTATGTACATGTTAATAAAAGGATATCGAAATTTCCTGGGAAGTTAATAACTAGATATAAGCATTCGTATTTTGTTTCTAAGGTTTCCATGAAAAATAAAATACACTCCTTAAATGACAAGGCAGCCTACACCATGACTAACGTTTAGCAGTAAGCCGTATGCTTTACTTATTGTGCCGTATATACAGTACCTGGCTGGGAAAAATAAAGGAGCTCGAGTGAGGTTCATGTGCGCCAATTGCCAGTCAGTCACAAGAATCAACATCTATAGAAGTGAAGATATTTAATGATTATTATTATAGCCTCACACAATTGGACATCAAGTGTCCTTACTGGGACCTATAGTATTTCTATAGCTAGGACAACGCGGCTACCTTATAATTTGGCCTAAGTAAACTAACGCTATTAGTTTACTTATAATAATAGAAAGTTGTCAATAACTTCACGACGAAGCGCCTTCGCTCGAAACGTCGAAGTTCTGCTTGTATTTTTCAGGTAGTTGTGCATCCCTATTCATCAGCAGCTTTCTTATTATCGTCACTATCTACATTGACACAAACCGTTCGAGATTATATAAAAAATTAAAAATAGTTTACTTCCTACCTTTTCCTCTGTATATTCTTTTGGCCAGTCGAGTTTTCGCAAAAAGAATTCCTGTACAATAATGTGAGGGAAGCAATCAATAATGAAGATTCTCATGGTTTTGCATGCAACTGTAAATTTTGCTGTATATTTGTGAATAAAATCCTAGACTTAATTACTCAACCGTTTTTCTTCCTAAAAAATTAGGTCATTTTAACTGCACTTCCTAAAACCTTCCTTTATTAATTCTTATTTTTTAAATAATACAATTAAGGCATAAGGTAGGTCACAAACAAAAACCATGCTCAACTGGAATGCAGCCTTAACCCATGCAGGATTAATTTGCTCTAATGATTTGTAGAAAAATCGTGATGCATGGCAACTAGCCCGCGTGCAGGCCCAAGGGAACTGATAGTGGGCCTGCAAGCAAGGCCCGGTATTTTGTAAAACGCCCCTTTTCATAACACGCCCCATTCGCACGTCAATTGTCAAAAAAGAACCAATGACAGCACCCAAATATTAACAAACAAACTCGCATTAAAATGT